AACCCGCGACTCTCAGATTGTGAGTCGAGCGCCTTATCCACCTGGCCATCGCCGGGCCCCTCCTACAGTCTCTCTCATTTGGTCTTGAGTCAACCAGAGCTGGTCAGTGAATACCTGACAGTCCTGTAGAGACCACTTCATTTGACTTCAGACTCACCAAACTGCAAGTCACCAAAATGACCCTCAGTTGCCCATGTCTCATGAGAACTGAGATCAATCCACTGTGGGAGAACTTGATCAGCACTTCTGGGTGCACCAGATTCTTGCAGTTCTTCATTGCAAGTCTACAGCTACAACAAGAATGAATTCCACACCTTTGCAGCATTGGAGAAAATCTGACTTCCAAGAAAGAACTTTTCAAAGACAACCACTTTCTCTGACAACTGTCTATTCTTAGTAACAGACTATTCCTCCTGGTTATAAATCCTTTACTTACTTGAAAATGTCATTTTTTTTTCAAGAATGAGGTTGTTTTATACTTAATAACACAAAAGCCAAGAAGAGTACAGGAAAATGCAGTCACTGACAAAACTAAAAACTCCAAATTGCTAAACTTTTTCACTCCTACCTACTCTGCAATGCTCTCAAGTTCACCAATTTCCCTTTGGATAACCAGATAGGATTTACAAGATAATAGGAGGTTCTACAGAAAAAGTATTGCAGAGTTTAAAGAAAGAGACTGAGCACATTGTGAAATGCAGTAAATCAATCTTTATTCACTACACAATGTGTAGATGAATGACAGCACCTTCACTGGAGGTTGAAGTTTGGTGAAAATCTGTGAAGGTCTCTAAAATGTCTTCCAGACTAAGAAAACACTGCATTCTACAATGGTATTCTTTTGAAACTGATGATTGTTAGAAACTGTATATAGTGTTCCATAAATAAATACCATTATAATACCTTAATACATATATTAGTTTAATATGTTCAACAAAACGTTCAATAACCCAAGTGTCAGTTTTTAACATAGCTTGTTTGATCCTAAGTATAATTAAGGCTGGTATTTTTTTCAGTTGATGGTGATATTCATATAAAAAAAAAACATTCGCAGATGGTCATAGTATAAGATTTGTTGGTCAATATAAGCAGTTATGTTTCATATTTCATTTAATATTTCATATTAATATAAAGAAACTATTGCTTACCTCCTTCGCTCTGTTCAGAGCATCTGATGGTGGACACCTGACTGGACTGTAAGACCTGGTATTTATTCGATCATACAACTGAAACAAAAAAATGTTTATCATATATAAATACTTTAACCTTTAATTACTATTAACTTTATACTATTCCACTGATACCCAAATTTCTAGTATTTCATAAAACCTTTTATATCTTTTACATCAGTCCGTCCTAAAAGTTCTCGAGTTACAAAAAATAAATTCTACTTATAGCTTGTATCAAAAATGCTCTACTTTCCTTCCACACTAATCAGTTCTTTTTGCAGTGTGTTTCAAAAATACTAGTTACCTTTCACATCAAAGCACTTCTTGTTTTAGCTTCATTATAAAGTACTCAAGCTACTGTACACAAAAAATTAGTTTCAGCTATAACTTGTTTCAAAAACACTCACCTTACCATTCATGCTAATCAATTCTACTTCTGACTTGTTCCAAAAATACTCAAGTTATCTTCCATAACCAATCAGTTATTTCTAGTTGTAGGTTGTTTTAAAAATACTCATATTACCATCCATACTAAGTAATTCTATTTGTAGATTGCTCCAGAAACACTCATGTTACCTTCCATAATAAATCAATTGTAGATTGTTTTAAAAACATCCACATTTTTTTCCCAAAGCCAACCAGTTCTAGATTGTTTCATTAATACCAAAATAATTTTTCTACATCAATCACATTCTTCGTTAGCTTGTTTCATTGAATATCCAAGATGTGTTATCTACAAAATAAATCCCAACTTTAGATTTTTTTTTATAAATTTGAAAGATATATGCCTCAAGCAGCCATTTCCAACCTTGGCTTGTTTCCTTTATACCAACCAGTATTTGCTAAGAAACAATATTAAAGCCCTTGGTTGTTTCATTAAAATTCCCAATATTTTTCATAAAAAATTAAAAATGGAAACTTTTATTTAATACTTAAGCCATCTTCCCCAAAACACTCTCAGTTATTCGGTACCCATATTTTCTTTTCGTTATCAACATCCAATTATTATAGAAGGTTGTAGGTTTTAACGAATAGTTTTTATTATACATCAAAACCTACAAATTGTTTACATTCCACCACAATATAGAGCCGAGTGTATATAGCTGCTTTGCTTCTCCAAGCAGTACTGATAAGCAGTGAATTCTTTGAAATTATTCAACTGCAGATGGAGGATAGAATGAAAAATAAATTGGGAATCTACTTCATTGACGGATTCTTTCTTCTCTTCACTGAAAGTACATTTTTTGGTGAAGAGAAGAAAAAATTCACAAGTTATAGAAATAGGGATTTATACACATTTAGAACAACACATAAATCATCATTTGTTCCATACTTTTTGTCTAAACTCATTTGAAGGAAGTTTTCCTGTTGAAAATGTCCTCTAATGTCTACAAAAAAAAAAACATACAAAGTGAACTTTCACTGGCACTTCACTTTTGTTCAGGCCCAGTGCCAAAGCATTTTTCACGAACTTTCTAAATAAACCTTTGTTTTTAAGTGAAGGTGTAAAATGCCCAACATGGAATCTTAAAAAGCCTAATAAATGTGATGTAAACTTTACGTTTGAGCTTCAAAGTTTATCTTATTAGTTATAAACATATGTCTATAAGAGGCCTTTAGTAAAATGTTAGGAAATACAGTAGATCAATGGAAGTTTCTTTAATAGTAATGTACTTTCCTTGCTGAACACTCGTACTGAGATGGTAATGAAAGAAGCGTTGTATTACAATGAGATTTAAACGTACTTTCTAAGGTGCACCTTTCCTCCCATAAGCGTCATGGTTATCGAGTTTCTTATTCTGTAATTCATCTAATTTTTGATCCAAGGATATTCCCGGGTTTTATGAACATATATATGGCAAGTTGTCACATGAGATAATACTGTGAATTTTATGTCACAGACAAAAAAAAAAATTGTAACAACCATTTTACTTCTAACTTATTTCCACTCCTTCTATACATACATTTTAATTATTTTGGTTAATCACAGTATCATAGGCCAACCCAATCACGAATACCAAGAGGTAACAAACTTAAAGTAGCTTTCTACGTAAGAGCATGTAGATCGATTGAAAATTTTATTTTATAATCATTCATTAGCCAAAGAATGTAGAAAAAAAGTAACTCACATGACCGAAGTTTTATGAGGTTGCGTCTAGAACAAATCGAAATTTCGATAGAAAATAGAAATTGTGACGATAAACGTTTATGTTTTCTTCATGTAAAAGCAATTTTAGTTACATGTACTGTCTATTGCTTCTTTCTTTCCGTCTGTGTGTGTGCGTGTGTGTGTGTTAGTGCGTACTTACTTGTAAATCGTATCCGTTGTTTGAATGCTTTTATCCTGACACATCCTTTTTTTGTACTTTGACTTATTTAATGGTAACAGTTCTGCCAATGACCTACTAACTGTTGATTTCCGATTTAATCAACTATTTCACATGTTTACATAACGCACGCAGATACAGTGTAGTGTTCATGACATCCATAAGGCGTGGTTAATGACCAGCCACATATTACTAGACCAAATAGTTGTTCACTTTTCTTAATGACGCTTTTTCACATTTAATTACAATGTGATATTACACGCTGATATACAGCATGAACTTGTATCCGCCCGTAATAATACACGTTAGGCATATGCATCACTGAACAGAATGTTTTAAAAATATCTCCAGTCTCTTGTTCTATTATCTCCACAAAGATTGTTTAATAAGATTACTCCCTTTGCCTAACGTTTAGATAAGGAAGGATTAATGAACCGTGAGGTAACTTTAAAAGGATTTATCAATATCGAATAACGTTTGAAAGAAATTCGCAACACATTTTTTGGCTATTTGTGCACACCCACGTCAAAAAAGAGGTTGAGATAATGCAAGACAATCAGAACTCGTTAACTGCTCGTAACTAAAACGAAACCTAAAAGAGAATAATGTATAATAGAAAAACAATTAAACAAGAGAGAATCCTTAATAGCAGCGGCACTAGAAATTATTTTAGGCAGGATTAGAGTAAATTAGCTATATTTTTGTGCGCCAGCAATATCAAGCGTGGGGCGCACGTATACCTGATTCGATTTTATTATTCATTAGGGCCTCTACCAGCCTACCCTCAAATTGAAATTCTTGTAGACAGGATTAGAGTAAATTAATCTAAGAGACCTTAGGCGCAGTTAGATAAACCAATCGAAAGGGTTTGATCTCCTGACTCCAAAACTGTAATTAAATCTCAAATCGGTCATGAGATGACGGAGCTATGAGCTAACAGATTGTACCTGAAAAAAACTCGGGGCCATTCTATATAGCCGTTATGCCGAGGCTAAAACCGAGAATGTAGTGTAATTTTTTTACTAAATTAAATAAGCAAAACTGTAAATAAATCTCAAATCGGTTAAGAGAGATGGAGCTATGAACTAAAAGTTTGTACTTGAAAAAACTCAGAGCCATCCTATAAGTCACTATGCCGCCGCTAAATCCTAGAATGTTGTGTAATTTTTTTTTACTAGATTAAATAAAGTGAAAGGTGGAATTGTTAGAGAAAACTGAGTATCCTATTTAAGTGAATAAAAATATAAATTTTCTGATAGATTGCAGCAAGATGAATTACTGTGATATATTAAAAGTATGGCAAGTTCCGTTTTCCAAAAACGATATTTATTTTTCCACGGAATACAGTATGATAAATAATCTGTAATGCAATAAAGAAACAACAGACAGAGTGATCTGTATTGGATTAAGTAATCTTTGATAGATTATAGTTTTCTGAGGCAACCAATCGGCACATGTTAAAACAGATGTTATTGGCTCACCTCGACCGAACTGCTAACTACTCCAACTGTTGGTTACAAAAACGTTGCACGTGTTCACACCCACAATTAAAAATTAATATAACTGTGTAAGTATTCCCATGGCAGTAGTGATTACAGATAGCAACTCAGTGCTCATAGTCAACAACCATAGATTGTTATATACAAATAGGATGTAGGCCTTGATATAATTCAGAATAAATAGGGGAAAAATTAAAATTTTAACTGAAAGTAGAGATTGTTGGTGATTCGTAGAATAGCTATAAGAAATATCCCAAAGAGATAAATGCTGCAATAAAAAGCACACAAACAAGTAAAGTGGATAGATTTTTAAACGATTTTCAATCATTGTGATCATACTTTGTTTAGCAAATTTAAACTGCTTCATTTAGCTATACGGATCACAATGATTAAAAATCGTTTAAAAATCTATCCAAATAGTATCACTTTATTTGTTTGCGTACTTTTTTACTGCAGCATTTATTTTGTTCTGGATATTTTTTATGACAAGTCTAGAATAACCAACAATCCCTACTTTCCATTAAAATTATATTTTATTTCTTAGTTATTTTTTCAGTTTTTATATGTCCATGGAATGAACACAATATCTATAAACTTTCAGTTTAGCCATATCCCTGATAGCTATAACTTTTATAAGAATTAAAACCACAATCACGAATTTATAAATTGTAATCCTTACTTTGGCCTACAAATAAGTATATAAAACTGCCAAAGGAGGGACTGAATTTTATACATTTGTGATTGTGGTTTTAATTCTTGTTTGATTACTTTTTGTAGCAATATCCCTATTTTATTTTAGAATTCATAATTTTTTAACACTCTTGTTTGTTTACTTTTTGTTATATCTGTATAAAGTATATACTTCACTTTTAGAACCTGTCGCACATCTATCTATCGATATGTATCGCCATCTGTTGGGTTGAATAGATATTTAAGTACGTGCATGACATTTTTACTATATATATAAAAAGAAATCTGTATATATTTATCGAGATATAAAAATCAGATACCCACAGACCAGTCAAGTACGCTGGAGAAATATTGTAGCGATAGTCCGAGCCGTTTAGAGGTTCCCTGCTGACATGATCAGGTAGGTAGTAGATGAAAAAGTTACTGCTTTAGAAATTTTGGAATTGTTATACTGGAAATGTTAGCTACCTATTTAGCATATTATTAGTATATTTGCGCATAATACATCTTAACCATTACTTTGAATGGTCGGTTTTACGCT